GACTGAAGATATTTTTCGTTTGCAGGCGATTTTTTTTTTTTTTATGTAACAAATTAATAGGAACTTATAAAAAAAAATGAGCCATTTATAAGCCGTGAGCCGAGCTAATAGAAAAGCCTAATTGCAGGCCGGCTATAGGAATTCACGCTCCGCTGGAGGTCATGTCTGGATCCAATTAATGAGGACAAGTTAGCACAATACTGGAGGAGATGTGAGATGAATGTACACAATGTAGAACATTCGACTCCTCACCAAAGTGTCAGTACGCTGGTAGTCCCCGGATGTACACAGAGTGTCCTCCGCTAACCTCTATGAAGATCCATAAAGGTCTGAGCCAGTCACATCAGTCTCCGTACAGAGGAGCTTACACTCTAATGTCCCCCCATAGTCACATCAGTCTCTGTACAGAAGAGCTTACACTCTAATGTCCCCTCCCCCCACAGCCACATCAGTCTCCGTACAGAGGAGCTTACCCTCTAATGTCCCCCCATAGTCACATCAGTCTCTGTACAGAAGAGCTTACACTCTAATGTCCCCTCCCCCCACAGCCACATCAGTCTCCGTACAGAGGAGCTTACCCTCTAATGTCCCCCCATAGTCACATCAGTCTCTGTACAGAAGAGCTTACACTCTAATGTCCCCTCCCCCCACAGCCACATCAGTCTCCGTACAGAGGAGCTTACCCTCTAATGTCCCCCCATAGTCACATCAGTCTCTGTACAGAAGAGCTTACACTCTAATGTCCCCTCCCCCCACAGCCACATCAGTCTCCGTACAGAGGAGCTTACCCTCTAATGTCCCCCCATAGTCACATCAGTCTCTGTACAGAAGAGCTTACACTCTAATGTCCCCTCCCCCCACAGCCACATCAGTCTCCGTACAGAGGAGCTTACCCTCTAATGTCCCCCCATAGTCACATCAGTCTCTGTACAGAAGAGCTTACACTCTAATGTCCCCTCCCCCCACAGCCACATCAGTCTCCGTACAGAGGAGCTTACCCTCTAATGTCCCCCCATAGTCACATCAGTCTCTGTACAGAAGAGCTTACACTCTAATGTCCCCTCCCCCCACAGCCACATCAGTCTCCGTACAGAGGAGCTTACCCTCTAATGTCCCCCCATAGTCACATCAGTCTCTGTACAGAAGAGCTTACACTCTAATGTCCCCTCCCCCCACAGCCACATCAGTCTCCGTACAGAGGAGCTTACCCTCTAATGTCCCCCCATAGTCACATCAGTCTCTGTACAGAAGAGCTTACACTCTAATGTCCCCTCCCCCCACAGCCACATCAGTCTCCGTACAGAGGAGCTTACCCTCTAATGTCCCCCCATAGTCACATCAGTCTCTGTACAGAAGAGCTTACACTCTAATGTCCCCTCCCCCCACAGCCACATCAGTCTCCGTACAGAGGAGCTTACCCTCTAATGTCCCCCCATAGTCACATCAGTCTCTGTACAGAAGAGCTTACACTCTAATGTCCCCTCCCCCCACAGCCACATCAGTCTCCGTACAGAGGAGCTTACCCTCTAATGTCCCCCCATAGTCACATCAGTCTCTGTACAGAAGAGCTTACACTCTAATGTCCCCTCCCCCCACAGCCACATCAGTCTCCGTACAGAGGAGCTTACCCTCTAATGTCCCCCCATAGTCACATCAGTCTCTGTACAGAAGAGCTTACACTCTAATGTCCCCTCCCCCCACAGCCACATCAGTCTCCGTACAGAGGAGCTTACCCTCTAATGTCCCCCCATAGTCACATCAGTCTCTGTACAGAAGAGCTTACACTCTAATGTCCCCTCCCCCCACAGCCACATCAGTCTCCGTACAGAGGAGCTTACCCTCTAATGTCCCCCCATAGTCACATCAGTCTCTGTACAGAAGAGCTTACACTCTAATGTCCCCTCCCCCCACAGCCACATCAGTCTCCGTACAGAGGAGCTTACCCTCTAATGTCCCCCCATAGTCACATCAGTCTCTGTAGAGAGGAGCTTACACTCTAATGTCCCCCCACAGTCCTCTTTTAAGTGTTTAAGAGTCCTGACAATAAAAAGTGGGTAGAAGAAGACATGACATACAATATGATGCAGTTGTTGGTTTTCTGAGTCTTCTCTGTTACAGTTTTATTACCTGTAGATTATCTTTCACCTTTCTGTAACGGGCCAAGCTGGCCAGAAAAAAATGACAGTTACAGGGGCTGGGACAAACCATGTAACACAGCCAGGGGTGTTTACAACTGTCACCTTTTATTCATGCGGCTGAAACTTTTTTTTATTTTTATCCAAAAACAAACAATCTTGTTGCTGTAATCACTTGGTGTTAGGGTATCTCTGTAAAACGCGTCAGTGTCACTTCCATTTTTTTGAATCTCCCCTCATTGGCGTCGGTAACGTTTTTCTGGCCTGTCCAATCTCCGGGGGAAATCCTTTTTTCTAATAAGAGCTGTGGCGTCTCTCTCCGCTGCCTACGTGCTTGGGATGGTAAAACGCCAATACGACGAGGCGCGCTTTGTTTAAAAACGGCATCACGCGGCACCGATCTCAGAGCGCTAAGTAGCCGGAATATAAAGTGGCGAGCGGTTTCCTGTGATGTTCCTCGGCGCCACTTAAATCAGCTTCATTCCACGCCGCTTAAGCTGCAACTATCGCTCACGCTCGCGTCCCTCGGGGCCGGTATAATTTTGTATTTTTTTAAAACCGAGCAGCTGAAAATATTTGACGGGCGAATCAATATCATGCGGCTGGACGACTTTCCGTATTTATTTCTATTCATATATTATTGAACTGCAGAGAGGACGGGAAACGAATTCGGAATATCGCCTCGGAGGGAGCGGGGTATGGCGGCAACTGGCCGGTGAAGCCGGGAAACTCACGGGATGAAGTCCGCCTGATACAATGTTACAGGGATATAATATTATTATCATTATACAGGATTTATAGAGCGCCAACAGTTTGCGCAGCGCTGCACAATATAAGAAAGACATGACAATCACAATACAATACAAGACAAGATGGTAAGGAGGGCCCTGCCCCTGAGGGCTTACAATCTAAAAGGGGAGGGGCCAGTGATACATGAGGAGGGAGCTGTGTGGGGGATGAATTGTCTGAGAACGTGATGGTTGAGCGGTTAGGTTGAGGTGGGATCGGCTTCCCTGAAGAGATGAGTCTTTAGGGAACGCCTAAAGGCAGCCAAGGTGGGAGATAGACGGACAGGTTGGGGTAAAGAGTTCCAGAGGATGAGAGAGATGGGGGCGGGGGATGGAAACCAGTGGAGGGATTGGCAGAGGGGGGCGGGGGATGGAAACCAGTGGAGGGATTGAAAGAGGGGGGCAGGGGATGGAAGCCAGTGGAGGCATTGTCAGAGGGGGGCAGGGGATGGATACTGTGTTTGTAGGCTCAGATTTTCCCCACTTTTTGTCTGGAGAAACCGTTGTCACCCTGACAGGAAGCCAGATCAATAATTAGGCAGGTTTGGGCTGAGGACACTGTGATTCGGGTTCCAGCGGAGAGGAAGCTGTTTTTCTGACGGAGGTACCCAGTCGGGGTACCAGGCGGTCCGTCACAAAGAGGACCCGTCACCTGCTCTATGCTTTCTAGGCATTAGAAATTGAGTTAATTAAAGAAGAAAAAGTTTAAAAAATAAATATGAATAAATAATAATGTGATGATGAATAAAGAACTTGTAAAGCTTCCCGCCCCCCACATACATGCATATATGAACATAAACATGTGCGTTCGGTGTGCCTGGGTACGAAAGCGATGATTGTGCCCCAAGTATTAGGTATCTCCACGAGTGAGAGCAATCATTTTAGTGCCATCGTTTACTGCTAATTTTAAATTGATGAGCTGCAAAGGCTCTTAAAGCGTCACTTATGGACAATTTTGGATACCATAGTCTTATGCCATTTCACGGGCGCATGCAATGATAAAGCTTGGCATGTCTGGTATCCATTTACTCAATCCATCCTCATCTTTATTATTTTACCAACAATGGGGTATTATATTGTGTGCACTAAAATAATTTGTGTATTTTTTCTTCAGTAGCTGCCCCCCAAT